CCCGCGTATGCCCTGCTCGCACAACCCAGCTCTGACTTCATTTATGTCATTTACTTCCCCTCCTCTCCCCCACTCCGTTGCCGTCCCACTCTTTCCCCCTATCTCTCCCCCCTTTTTGCTTTCTGATGTCCGCATATTAATCCCGCCGGCCCGTGCCGAGTGAGGTGGGGAGGAGGGGAGGGGGGGGGGAGGAGCAGAGGCGCCCTAACCATCCCAACAATCAGATTACGCTCTCATTTTCTGGCGCACCGGCCCAACTGACTTGGGCTGCAAGCACACAGCTATTGCGCACTTCCTGGCTGCACGCTTCGGACTCTCGGCTGCCTCGCCTAGGCGCTCCGCTCGGATCATTTTTCCTCTGATGTTGGGACGCTTCTGAAGTTGAGCGATCTAGGGGACCGGGGCCGACAGACTTCAAAACTTCAACCAGTGAGGGGGGGGGGGGGGATAATTCATAGAAGCATTAGCTAAGATTCGTTAAAGGGCGCGTGGCGTCGGCGGCTCGGCTCGGCGGGCACGGAGCTCGCCTTGTTGGCCGGGCCGAAGGTCTCGGTCGCACCAAACTCGCTTAAAATTTCTCGGCGCGGCGCGATGCAACCCGTGCTCTGGCACTAGAAGTTACTTGAGACCAACTGAATTAACCAAGGGCTCACAGCTCTCGCTAAACGGTTACTTCGGTGACAGCCCTCGGCCCGCCGTCCACAACCACTTTTTGCATAATTTTTCAGAATTGCATGCATGCTATTTTTCAAAATTAATATGTAGGATCTAATACACACAGAAAATCGTTTGTTGCTGTGACATCAACATTACAATGGGGTATTACATCCTACACATTAATTTTGAAAAATTGCATGCACGCAATTCTGAAAAATTATGCAAAATATCGTTGTGGACGGCGGGCAGAGGACTGCTGTCACCAAAATAACCGTTTAGCGTGTGCACGCCAAATTTGTGCCAAACGACTGGATGCGGTTTATTTTACCAATTATTCGCTGCTTCGGCAGGGCTGGCTACTGGTTATCCTGTATTGGGAATCAGGCGACTGTTTGGGTTCTGGTTCTATCGAGCTCTTTTAGATCATTTTGAAGCCTCGAGTACACATTCACTCAATGCCACATAAAAAAGGCTTCACCACCAGCTACTATTGCCAATCCCATGAGCTAATGTGCCCGTTTGGGTGTTTCTCTTATTGCTCTGATCGAGACTTTTCGGTCGCTTTCCTCTCAATGCGCGCCGCCTCGGTCACGGCACAGCTCCCACCCCACCACGCCCCGCCCCGCCACGCCCACGAGACGCGCCGGAGCGTTAGGATTCCTATACCATCACTCACCATCACCGAGAGGCGTCCGCAGATGTGTCCCTGGGAAGACAAACAGGCCACGCCCGGCCCACTATGCCGCCCACGACACGGAAAAATGAAAATAAAAGAGGGATTCCAGCTCGGCTCGTGCGCACCCGGAAAGAAAATACAAGTGTGGCTCGTGGAGTTTTGTGTTTTGCGCCGGTTGAGAACACGGCGTAGCATTCGTCGGATGAAACAACGAAGAGGGGCCTGACCCAAATACAGCTTCGCTACTCTCTGCCGTAACGTTATCCGCGAAAACGATAACGGCTTGCTTCTTGTCGTCTATCATCATCGCGTTGGAATCGCCGCCACGGTAAGATAACGATCCGCACCCTCATTGTTTCATCGTCACGACGATAACGACCTTAAAGAAATGGCAGCAGAAGGAGAGGTCCGGTGCACAGTGAAGGTACGGGAAGGCCACTCCCAGACAAATCCAGGGGGGCAAAATTTGTACAAGGGATTATCAGGGGAAATCCGTAAAAAGACGATTGTGTATGGACGAGACAGTGGATATAGGAACCTCTCTCCAACGTTTTATCCAGCAGAACGAACTTGCTACAAGAGCAAGCTTTGCTGCCAGACAAGCATTTCACGTTTCATATGTTCATAAATCGCCTGGCGAAATGGGATAACGGGGTAGAAACACAAGGGGATGACTCCTGGGCGCGCCGCAGGCTGTACAGTGCGGGTCCACTCCACATCCGAGCCAGCCCGAGCGCAGCGCGCGCTGTGCCACTGCAATGGCAAGGCGAGTCCAAAACAAACCGGGCCACTTAATTATTGACATCGGGTCGGAAAGGGATTATTTCCCGGGTCTTCGCGTGGTTCCCGTCGGGAGGGACACACTCGAAAGCACACACGGAGCCGGAGCTTCAGAGAGCGAACCAGGTGGAGTGAAAAATGGGGGAGAGGGAGTGAGAGAAAAGGGGAGAGGGGGTAGTGGGAGTTAGGGGAGAGGGTGATAGAGCAAACGGGTGTGTGTTTGTGAGGGTGGGGGGATAAAGATAAAGACAGGGAGAGAACAATGAATATACGCGTACATAGGTGCGCGGTATCAGCTCGACACACGTCCCGGACGCAGCTATTATTGCTTGACGGCTGCGATTAGGGCCTGGCTGGCTCATCATCTAGCCTGCCATCATTTGGGCTCGTCTCTTTTCCCCTCCTCTACTTCTCTTCTCTCTTTCCCTCCTTCCCCCCTTCTCCCTCTCTCTCTCTCTCTCTCTCCCTCCCCTACTCTCTAAGGCATGCTTCAACCGCGGAAATTAAATCCCCCGTCCGATTTATGTCTCTTTCCTTCCTTCAAAACATCCTCCGCTAGCTACCTCCTGGCCGGGACCGGCCTGGTCGCCTCTCCTCCAACCTCCGGGCTTACTTCCGGTGTCAGCCGATGCCTGGCGTGGCCTTTCTCATCTTATCCACCACCCCTCCTTGCCTTCTTTTATAACGACTCCAATTTTCACCTTCGCTCTGCCCGGCTCTGTCCTCTCCTCTCCCCCTCTCGTCCTTTTTCGACCATCTATTCAAGAGATTATGGTTTGCCAACTGGATATGAGAAATACGTCATATCCGCTCGGGAATGCAGCATCAGCACCCAACGGCATGTCGTCGGCTACAAGGATCGGACATTCAATTCCGAACCGTCGCAATTTGCAGTAGTACAAGTTTCCACAGTTTATAAACCAGTCGCTCCTGTGGGAGAGCGAGAATGGCGTTGAATGCAGATTCACGGGAAGTTTTTGAGAAGTAGAGCGAAATGGAACCCGTGGCATCCCCCATCCCCACGCGAGGGGACGCTGCATCGTTTTACTCACCGTCGTTGACGTGGACGCGGACCCGGAGGAGCTGCTCTCTGACGGGCACGTGCCGTCCTCCGAGCCGTTCTGGGCGGCGTTGAGGCTGAGCATGCCGCTCCACGTGTCCAGGCGTGCGGCCGACGTGCTGGTGCTGGTGGTGGACTTGGACATGGTCACGATGGCCACAGACAGGTTCACCCGTAGCGCGTACAGAATGGCGATGCCCAGGAAGCTGATGAACGCGAAGATGTAGCGGCATTTTAGGAGGCCTAGAAAAGAGACATCAAAATCAACGAGAGGCGGTAGTTTTGTAATCGTGGGATGTAAAAGACAGACCACAGAGACTAGATGTTGCTATTAATACACCAGTTTTTGACGTCCGAGCACTGAAAATGATAAGGAAGAACGTTGCAAGAGAAAATGTTTACATTAGGGACTGGTAGACGAATGGAAGCAGACTGTGCCCGCTCTCTATCCCGGCTTATAAACTACAAGGTGCCTAGCTAACTGTGACACTAGCTGTCGGCGGGCAACACCTGGAGAGAACTTGAAAATAAACTGAAGTTAGGGTAAGGGATGGTGAGGCAGGGGAAAAGCGATTAAGCCACAGCCTCGGGGCTGCGGACGCGATGATATTAAGAGCGGCTTCAGACACCAGGAATCATGTTTCCACCAAAATTTTTGTCTGCTTTGAAGTTTGTTCAGGAGAAATGGCAGCTTGTCGCAGGAAAGCCCTGAAAGAATTTAAGTGTTAATAATAGGCAACTCTTTATTTTCTCAAAATGAGATGGAAACTTAATAACAAAATTTAAACGCAGTTTGTTTATGCGTCGTTTTTTCCTCTCTGCATTCCGTAGAGCAGTCTCATAAATCCAGCACGATATGGGAGTTTCACATGCCGACGTCCCCTCCCCTCCAGGCCCTCCCCCATCTGCGTTGCGCTGCAGCCGTGTTGCAGAAATGGCATATTCATTTGGCCCAGCTCGGCTGAGTGTAGAACAGTGAACTAGCGCCGGCGATATGAGAGTCGAGTTACGTCTTTATTGCATAAATTTCGCAGAGCAAAGCGCAGAGCCGTGGCACTGCGCCGTGCCGCTCTGATACAGAGAGCATGGAATGGCACACTGAAAGTTGATAGTTTACATTCATGTATACTGATTGTGATTTATCAGGGGAGAGGCAAAATCCACTGATTTATCAGTGTCCATAGCATATTCGATAAGGTATGCACCTTAAAATAAAGTAATTGTCGGTCAATCCGAGCGAAGATGGTTTTGCTCGCACAATTACCATAGCCAGATATGGTCGGAGCCCTCCGTATCATGTCATATCCCAAAATAGAAGAATACGATATAAAATGGCACATAATTTAGGGTGAAATACCTGTGTAAGACCTGCAGGTGTTTTTAATAGCATTTTAACCACCCCAAACTTTCCCAGCCGGAGCTTTTTTGAACTTGATTGGGATCGCTCCGGGCTTGCTTCTCTGAAGAGCTCATAAGTATTCGTATAAACGACGTGGTTGTACATGGCACATAGTAGCCGAGGACGTAGTCCGCACGAGTTGCACGCTGTGATGGCGGAACGGTGCGCCGGGCCCGACCCATCTTCGTACCCACCCTTTTCAATCAGTTCTCTACGCCCCGCCGAGCCCTTCGCATATCTCTCCACCTGAAAGTGGTTTCAAACCCTACTCTGCGCACTTCGACCTTCCCAGTTTGACCTTCATATGGAAATCACCTTGCGAGTTTTATGTTGACTCAGCGGAATGATTGGCCGGTCAGGTTGGGACTATGCAGTCCCAGCTAAGATGGCTTCCGCGAGTATCAGTTTAATGTTACGATGTTGTCCGTATTTGATGTTCTTGGAATCAGAACGATGTGTCACCTTCCGTAACGCGCAAGAATCGTTAATATCATCTTATCAATCCAATCAGAAATTAGATCACCTATGATTTTCCGCACTAAACATGAGTGCACTCATTGTTTTCTGAGTGGCACTTATTCGATCTTTTAAATTGCACTCAAGTTGAACAGTTGATCCTGAGTTCATATCTGAGTCAGTCCCGATCTACCGCAAACAGAAGTTGTTGACACCCCCGTTTTTCTGCGCTAGTAGCTCAGTTCGGCAATTTAATTTAAAATTGAAAATTCTATGTTTGTTGTACTCAGTTTAAGAAGCCCTACTCAGCAACCCCAATCACTCACATATGTAATCTTTAACTTGACAGCCTAGTTTCGGAATATTCCGAGCTCGTTGTGGCTCGTCGCGCTGTACCTTAAGAGCGCCACCAAGTTCATCAAGATAAAGTCTTCGTCAAGCAATCCCAGAGCGTGGCTGCCAGCCTGGGAGGCACGCACGTAGTCGGCTTTGCCGTCCCAAAACTTGATGCTCAATCCGCTTACAAGCCTCGATCATGTCCCCACTCCGCTCTCTCCACACCGACGGTGTTGATGCATCCAATCGACCCTCCTCATCCCCTACCCCCTCCCACCCATTTCTTGCCTCAGTGCCTTGATGCCCCCCCTCCAACATTATAACCTTTCCCGCTGTGTCACCTACGCCTCATCACCCAAGTGCCGCTGTTACTGCTGAGGTCAGCAGGCAGCGGTTATATCATCTGTTGACCTACACTGCACTGGCAATCCTACTCTCTAAAACTCTTATTGTTTTTATTTTTTAAGAGTTTTTGTAGTTGTACAGTACAACTCTTATATCAGCGTCACCGCACGAAGTAACAAGTACGAGATGGCTCTCGAGAGGTTCTGATAAGCGGTCATCGAGTGAAAAGCAAAGTCAAAAAGTGAAAAAAATGCAACCAATTTCTGCCGAAAATGTTTGCCACATGCACGCAAAAAAATTGTCATTGGACACGTGTCACTGGACCAATAACATTTTGTACTTGAAATAGCTTCAAGAAAAGAGGATGCTACTCCAACGAGCAACATGGCTCAACGACATGGTCGGTGGCACAACCACCGGCTGTCAGGATTTGCAACATCGTGTCTTTGGAACAACAACCAGGCCACAAGAACACGACGGTCGTTGGATGATCCTTTTTTTTCCCCGCGTGGTCCAGCGGACGACAACTGATAGCGACTGACTGGGGTTATAGGGCAGAGGAAGAGTCACAGCCGAAGAACAGCAGGGTGGTTGAAAAGCTTCCCCCTGCACTGGCAAGGCATCCCCTACCACTCTACCTGGCGGCGGGGGTGCGCGAAGACCGAACAATACTGTCTTGGCTACAGAATATCGGGATTCTTCTGTACGCCTATTTTTGGGGTATAGCACACGTTTCGAGCGGCTTTGTGGAGCGCAGTGTGCTCTGGTCGGGTCTCGTTTCTTCCCCATCCCCTATTTTCGTCGCCAACCCCTTTTCTCTCCCACATCATGATGGATCGCTCGGTCGGACGCCGGTCGACTCACCCCGCATCGTTCAACCACCAGCCTCGTTGTCCACACCTCCCCCCTCATACCCCTTTTCTCACTCTGCCCCTAATTTGCATCTCATCAGTAAGTACCTGAGTGCGCCGCTGCGCGAAGCACGCGAACGTTTGCACCCGCTGCACGCTAACGTCTGTGTTAGTTTCTTTGCTAAATTGGGTGTCTGCATCTCTCTTTGCAAAATGCCATATCTAGTCCTCATTATAAGTGTCAAATTCCTAAGGGCGACAAACTTGACACTCCGATTTCCACACTGAGAAAAGCAATTTGTAATAATAATAATAAAAAAAGCCAACTAAACGTTTGATCAAGAATGTTACATAAAATATGACCAGGCGAAAAGGTACTATCAAGCCGATCACACCGTTATCAACATGACTAAATCATGTAATCGGGGCAATCAAAACTTGTTTTGCAGGAGTAAAATTTTCTTGTCTTTCGTTTTTGTTCCTCGAAACAAGTGGTTTCCTGAGTACAGTGTGCTGTACTGACGGGAACGAACTTAGACTGACAAAAAAAAAGACTCAGAAACACATCACTGACGAATTACGATGAAGATGATAACGCCCTACACTGTAGCACACCCTATTCTCGAAACGTGACTCTATCCTTGCTTTATTGTTCGATCGAGTCGTTTTGCTGGAGCAAAGTCGCAAGGTAATAATATTGAAAACTTGAAGAGATATGGAAATAATTGGGTTGGTACCCCGGCGATGAACATCGCGCGGCTGCCCCTGCCGATGCCCTTCTTTCCTAAACCGAATCCCCACGCCCTCTGCTCCACGCCGAGCTAGCCCTCGCCCGGACAAGAAATGGTGTACACAGCGGGGTTCAGGGACTCTCAACAGGTTGAGCTGGGACCATAGGTCTCGGGCGCGGGCAGCCATGCATGCAGGGCGATAAAAAAAAGAAAAATATTCCTCGAAACCCGCGGATGAAAACATTCCACACCTGCGTCAGCTATTGATTTTACTTTGTCCATAAACACTGTAACAGAAAACCACAGTAATAGGTACAGGAAACTATTGGTCATACACTTGCCTAACACGTCTGTGGTCAAACCGTACATCCTACAGAAGAGGTACAGGATGCACCGTACCAAAACCGTACATCATACAGAATAGGTACAGGAGCACCGTATCAAAAATGTAGTCATGATGTTGCTGTACCCTTACAGTATATCTAGGGGTTTGCCGTTTGTAATATTTTTGTATGAGGATTGGGTCGGGAATTGACCGCCAACTTCAATGTTCAAAAATAGTTGCATCCCTAGGTACTGGGACAGGCAGGCCCCTGCGGCACCTCTGGCGTATGACTTATATGGCGTGACGTATCATCAGCGAGAGCAATCTCCAGGCCAGTGACGCTCTGGGTATAGTACAGAACAAAGATGTTGTTTTTGGACTACGGTTTGCCTGTAGTGTATCCTATACGGCAAAATATGGCGCACGGTTCCGTACTGTGACAAACAGTAGACAAAATACGGTAGTATCTGCTGTAGTTGGGTACGGTATTTTTAACAGTGAAGGGCTGTAAACAGTTATGTCGAAGTACCGCCGAATGAGTCAAAAGAATTATTTGAAGTGGTTTCTCAGAGGGTGGGGTCTTCTGCACCTTCACGCTCGCCTCCGCGCCACGCGGGCCCTATCCACCCACGTTATTTCCTCTTTCGATCAGACGCAACAGGACCTCTTTCTCTTCTTATACCCTTCTTCCGCACCTTCCTCTCCCTCTCGCTCGCTCCACAGGGCTCCCACAGGCCTCAGTTCTTCACACCCCTCATCGCGCTGAAAGGCCACTTCACTCCACACACACACACACACACACACACACACACACACACACACCCGCTGCAGCGCGCAGGGTGGGCACAAGGGTTCGGCTGCCTCTCGCCTCCCCGATACACGAATCAACTAGCCCGACACCTGGCCGCCCCCGGCCCCCCGCCTGCTCTGCCCAGACCCGGCAGTAGAACACGTCAAAGAGGCCCCACCTGGCCCCAGACCCTCAGTGGACTGGCCTTGGCCCGGCCCCTGCCCGCAAAAGATCTGCACGGAGGTATAGAAAAGATCGACAAGCTTGCAGCCCTTAAATGTGAACATTTCGATAGGATTTTCCCAACCTCTGGCATCAACGTCAACAGCATTCTCTTTACCTGGTGCATCACTCGCAGCGCTGCTGATGGAGCTGTTCCGCGAACCTTGCGGTCCACTGGCGTTAAGCTTGCGCTGCGCCATGGCTTTTGTCGGCACTGAAATGGAGGGACGCGGGGGTCGTGGGGGATCGTAAGGTCAGCCCATACACGCGATCCGTGCACTAAGTGTGTGGGCGCGCCGTGCGTTCGACCGACACTGATTGCATGAACAGACTGCTCGACTTCGAGGGGCTTTTCGGAACGCATTAGTCCCTATTTACTCTCGACCAGAGCGTTCGGGTAGCCAAGTGAGAAGTGCTTTCGCTGATGCCGAGATCTCTATCACCGCCCAATGTAGCCAGATGCGTGAAAAGTGGACTTGATTGGGATTGGAAAAGTACGTCAACAGATATCAAAGGAGTAGGTAGCCTATGAGGCGTCAAGTACCGTTGACAGTACACTGGTAAAGAGTATGCATAATTTGCAAACCAACGTGTGATTTTGAGATTTTGCCGATTACATGATGTTTAACTCAAGTTGCAAACTTGCGTGGTGTGCAAATTTAAAACGTTTATTCTGCTCACTTGGACACAGTTCTTAGTGTCTATAAAATGCAAACAAACTTAAAAATCAATTGACGCGCAAAATTGAACACTTGTTTTACCAGTGATATAGCACAACGGTATTCACTCTCTCCGCAACCCAAAAATTTAATTTCATAGACATATGCTAGGAAATTGACTTGTTCCAAGGATATGTACTTGTTAGCTCGAGAACCTTCTCTGTATTTATGATGCTTGATAACCTTATTGATCAAAATATCCGGGGGAAAAACAAGACGCGTCTCAAATTCGCGTCATCTTTTTTTCATGATCCGGAGCTTTTAACATCGGTTATAATGAAACAAATACTCACAATTTTCTTAGAACAAGAGTCAGTTCGTGTTATCCCTTTGAGGAATAAACTTGTGATAACTTGTGATCACTCCCCTCACCTCACATTACATAAAACGTAAACTTACGCAACTTTCTATTAACTGTCAAACCAAAATCTTACAATGACAGTGCAGCGATAGACTGTGCTTCAGTTTTGTCTGCGGAATTGTTATGCATGGAGGACCCCGTGTAGCGTCACACCTATGAGAAATGAGATTATGCGATGCAGAAGAACGACGATCGAATTTCTTTTCTGTATTTCAGATTAACTCCTCAAGTTTAAGAGAAATTGCAAGGGTGGCGTTCCTCAGAAAAGCACGACCACCATTTCCCAACCCGTTGCGTTTCTGTTTATCTGCAAGAGTCTCGATGACACCACCCGACCATCGGTCAAGTGGTGCAACGACGGCGCCAATAAGCACAACGAAGCCAAACATACGAGCAGCGCGCTATGCAAACATTGGTCAGAGCGACACTTGGCAATTCCAGGAGAGATGGTCAAAAATATCCGTTTGTCACGCGGTTTTGTGAGCGACTGAGAGGCGCTACGTTATTTTACAACACATGTTCTGACTCCCTATCTGAAGACGCGTCACGTCATGTTTTGTACGAAGCCGTAGCACCTCTCAGTCGCTCACGAATCACATGAGGTTCGGACACCCCTTCCTGGAATTGCCCCACTCTGACGACGCTTTGGAGCCGCGTCTTAGAGGCGGCGGTGGTTCTTCGGTCTTCCCTGTTGCCGCCTGTCTAGTCCTCGCATGTATGGCGACAAAGGGCACACGTAATTGGCTGGCCCATCTTACAGACATTGTAGCCGACGCGACACAAAGGGCCAAGACGAAGCCAGCTATTTTCGAAAAACGGCGCGCGAAACCTAGTAAGGCCGCGCCATTGTTCATCTCCTGACGGGCAGGGCCGCCGGGTCGAGCCGGCGCGCCGCGGCAACCAGCATTCAGAGCAAAAGACGCGAGCTGCTGCCGCCGACCTGCCGCGGCGTCAATATTCAGCGACAGGCGCACTCTGCTCTGTCAGCGGCAGCGACATCCAGACAACGCAGAACGTTACGGACGAAGAATTCAATCCTTTATGCCACAAAAGTGGACGATTGATTGAAGGCGGGCGCACGGCTTGATCCCTTTGGAGGAGAGGGGATCTCCCTGGAGCCGCACGGGACGGACGAGAGCGGGGAAGAAGCGCTCGTCAGCAGACAGAGGCGGCCGAAGGGAAACAACAGAACCGCCAGCAGCGCGCCCCACCCGCTACACTGAGGCAATTCCAGAAGGAAGCAGGGGACACAATTTTGTTTTCTATGGTGATCGGAAATAAATAGATCCGTGTTGCGAATGTATTTATTTGTAAATGTGTGTGTTCAAGAAGGCAACCGATCCCGTAATCCTGTAAAGATAGAAGGGTAATCCCTATGCAATCCGTGTAATACTTCACAAAATTTTTCAACAATTATCACCAAATTTCACATAATTATTCAAATTTAATGGTTTGAGCCCCAGAATTTCAACAAAACTCATGTGTAATCTCCGTATTCACGTAATCCTCCTGTGTACATCCTAAAGCGAAGTGGTTCGTTTCCCATTAATCTTTACTGATTAATGCATTCGTTCGTTCGGTGGGGCATTATCTGTGCAGGGGCCACGCGATGCGCCCCTCCCCGCGCCCCTACAACGGGTCGCACTCCCAGGACTGCCACTCTGCGCAAGACCCCGTAGCAGCGGTGGCGTCGTGTGTAATGGCAGGGGTTGGCGGCACCCCCCGCGTCGGCGTCCCCGATGACACCCTGGAGGGTGCAAAGGCGACCCCGGGACGGACGCATACGCATAACGGGGTGCGCTGCACAGAAGTAGAGTGACTTACTTCTCACAACTAAGAAGTCAGTTAAATCAGTGACAACGAAAAAAGTTGGTTGCCACGGCAAACATATATTGGATGCAGCAGACAATATTTTGCAACTTACACGATAAACTGTCACAACTGACGCAATTTGATCACCACATCGACAACTGTAGGAATGAAACTGTAGGAATTTCGTTTCGACACTGTATTAGGACCTGCGAACGCAGTCAGTGAGCAAACAGTGTTTCAAGACGGAAAAGAGAGGCGACCAGATGCGGAATACACCCGCCACACTACATGCTATGTTTAGCTTCTCGCGGTACTCAATAATGGCGCGCAGTCAACCAATAACCAATATATCGTAATCTGTGACACAGTTCGGACTTCCTCGTGCCCAACGACATGCCTTGTACGAAAACCACGACCGATTCTACTGGTAGTGAAGGGACCGTCCGCGCCCGAAGATGTTAAAGCGCGCTCTATCGGCAGTGACGTGACTGAAAGATGCTCCGCCGATAGAGGGCGCTTCAACCGGGCACGGGAGCTTTACGGGCAATGTTGTTGCGCCCACAACATCTTGCTGCAAATTATCCCGGGAGAGCCACTTTGCCAGGGGTAAACGAATTAACACGAAAGTGGGGCGGTGGGGCGGCGGCGTGGGTGCGGTTGGTCGGTTTAGCCCCCCTGAGAGGCCAAAGTGCAGCTGAGGGCCCGCGCTGCATTCAGCGCAGCGCGAGCGTGCCCAGCGTGCTGCTTTAATACTGTTCGTAGTTAGGCCTCAGGAAAGGGGTTTGTGTTGTGGAAATAAGAGGGAAAAAGTATATACTTCTCACAAAAAATATGCGCGAAAAAAGATTAATATGCAGGTAACCTAACCCCATTTAACCTCGAATTTCGGCCCGCAGCGGGGCAGGGTGCGAAGAGGCTGTGCCGCCAGAACGTCCTCGCCTTCTGCCCAGCTCCAGGCTCCTCCACTGCTTTAATATAGGACCATAAAAAGATGGCGTGAAAGTGTTCGCCGGAGGGGGTAGCTAGGAGCCACCGCGCCAACGGGGGCCAGCGGGCCAGTCCGGCTGGGGGGATAGGCCGCTGCTCTGCGGGGATAAAAAAGCACGCGCTGTCGAGTTTTTATTTCGTGCATAAACACCTCGTGCACCCACCTCCCGTCCCTTTATTTGCTGCCGCCCCTGGCTGGGCGGTCGGCACCCGCAGGACTCCAACAAGACCCCGGTGGGGGTTGAGCAGAGGGCTCCAGCATTTAGCAGGCTGCGA